CTTTCTATAATAATATTGGTTTTTTAATTAATAGAATGAGTACCAATTATCATTTGTTTATCTTTTTTTTTTAAAATACTTTTTGTTTATTTCTATAAATAAATATAAAGAAATTTTACTTAAGAAGTATATGGCAAAAATATTTTAGAAAATTAATAAAAAAAAATACTTAAAAAAAGAAGTTTTTAGTTTTTCTATTATTTCTTTAATTTTTTGTTTCTAAAGCTCTGAAAAGTACTAAATTGATATTGAAATGATATTAAATTAGTATTGATTTATAATAAATTTAATATATAAATTATAATCCATATATATAAATTTATAGTAAAATAAATATTGAAATGATATTGAAATGGTATTATTAGAAGTCCTATTTATTTTTTTTTCTTAAATATATTTTCTTTTTTTGATTATTTTAAGGAATTTGTCTATCTTAATTTAATTTAAATTTTTAGTTATATCATATTTCCTGAAAGATAATTGATCAAGATTATAAATTAATTAATTATTATTTTTTTTTCTGTAGTCAAACAAGTGCATAAGTTTATTAAATCTTTATAGAAAACAAGAAATATATAATACATTGTATTGCATAAACTATCTACTGCCTTGAATACCCATCTTAGACTATGTTTCTAGGTATGACTTTATCACTTTTGGAATTTGAAGATAAGAATCATCATTTGCAGTTCATCACTATGGTTCATCTAAACAAAATCTAGACTACTTGTTATATTTCCAATCACTTTTTCCCTTCTTTGATCCACCTCCAAACTGCTATTTCGCTTTTCTTCTGACTTTGCTTGTACTCTTCATTTGTGGCTTCTTCTTGATCTGCAGGATCTTTTGCTTCGTGATCTTCTTGTTCTTCTGGTCCTTCTTTTTTCCTTTTTTGAGTCCTCATGCGGTTACCTTTTCAATGCTTCTTCATTTCTAACTTTTTTCCTGAGTTTTGTAACCTGGAGCATCTATCATTCCATATCTTCTTTCTAACCTGTTTACATATTGATCTTGACAATTTGTATAATAAGAATTTAGCTTTGCTCTTCTTGACTTTAAATTTCTCCATTGCTAAGCTCCATTCCTTAATATCTTTTTTTTGAAAAAGTCCTAGGCTGAGATCTATAATACTTTTTCCTTGGGAAAACTTGTCTATATACCATTTTTCTAGCAATGCATTGATGTGGATTCTTGAGCCTTGATTTTTTTCTTTCTAAGTCTTGTTTTATTACTTGGTCTTTTGCCTCCTTCCAGATTTCTTTTCAGATTTCCACAATATTAGAACATGAAAGAAGATGTTTGAGGGATTCCTTTTCTTTTCTACAATATATACAGTTGGTTAGGCTTCCATATTCCTTGAGGAATCACTTATTCATATTGTTCAGGGACAGAAGCTCATTATGCATCATTTTAATCTGAAAGGATTTTTTTCTGGTTTTCTTTAGCAATGTTTCTAGGGCTCCTCCTACTCTGTTTGCCTCCCAGAATTCTCTCCAGTCAAAGTTTTCATGGTCATTAATCTCTTTCAGCCATCTTTTTTGTATTCGATTTTGACCCACCCATTTCATTAAAATATTTCTTTTATATAATTCCTTAACAAACTCTCTTGCTCCTATATCTATGGTTATTTCATTCCAACAAAGTCTCTGGTTCTTCTTTAGCTTCCTTTGCCAGCAGATCTGCTTTATTATTGCTCACATCATTACTGTGTACTTTGACTTTGGTCATTTTAACTGTAATTTGTTTCTTCTGTATCAGGTCAATATATCTTATATATAATTGCGCTTTCTGTTTCTTTTCCCTGTGTCTTTGATCTGTGGATTCTGAAGCTTCTGAAGAGTATTGATATATGTGCTATTGCAGTCAGGAGTTTTATCCAATTTGGAAGATGTAGATCGCACCATTTATAATAAGAAATCAATTCTAGAAATTCTAGTACATTATAGAAAAGTTTTAAAATTATGTTTTAAAAGTATAATTGTTTTTTATTGATTAATATTAATACTATTTTCAGATAATATATTTCTAATATCTTGAAGAGTATTTGACAAGGTATCGTGAGATTTGTTTGATAAGCCTCGAAAAAATAATCGTTCTGTATCACTTAAAAAAGGGATTAAAGAATTAATTATAGATAATATTTGTGATTTTGTTAGTGAACTTTCAGTTTTTTGATGGTCTGCTTCTTCATGAATTATTGGTATTGCAAAAACCTAATGATATTTCTTTAGTTAGTTTTGCTTTAATAAAATCTATTCTTTTTGTTTGTGCAATTTCACTAAATCTTTTCATTTCTTCACTTAATATCCATTCTTCACTTATATTTTTAAAAATATGATTATTAGCATTTGGATTTACAAATTGTGTTTTCTTATTCGAACCCAAAATTGTTGTGATTTTACAATAAAGCTTGTAAGTGTATAAGGCTTATGTGTTTCATCTTCAGTATATCCTATTACATTAAAAAGATTAATATATAATTTTAAAATTTGGTATAATTACATACTGCAATTTCCCAATGCTGTTGTGAAGGTATAGAAGGAACTAATGATTTAAGTATTTTATTAATCTCTTCCAATATTGCATCATGGCCTTGATGTTGATCAGAAAGTTTAGAACATAAAGTTACAATTCTTTCTTGAATTAACTTATCAATTTCAAGTTTGATTAGTCAATAGATTGGATGTCGTCGGGCAGACCAAATTGGTGCAAATGTTCATCTAGCTGCAAGTCTTAATGAAGGCCTATTAAAGCGAACTCCAATACAAAAATTAATAATTGCTTGTAAATACAAAAAAATTTGCTCAAACTTTAATCTGAATATGGAATCTGTTTGCTTTTGGGCCCACTCTAAATATCCTTTAACAGTAGTATTTTCTTCTGAAATAATATATGGCCACATTAATTCAGATGCTATTGCATGCCTATATATATTACATATAGAATCCCATAATTTATGATGGTCGGAACAATTTTTAAAAAACTGTAATTGATTTTCAGTTCGATATCCCTGACATTGAGCAAAATCTCTTATATTAATGTCCCAGTTTAATTTGACAAATGCCTTTAGCATATTCATTTCTTTATGAAGAGCACCTGGAACTAATATAAGCCATGGAAAATCTTTTTTTATTTTTAATGCATGATGATATGGTACTCTATCACAGGTTACCACAACCCATGTACAACTACCATCTTTAATACCAGATATTTTTTCAATATGTTCAAGCACCTTCCGAACATTAGAAACTGAGTTTGGATTAATTTTTATTAGATCTGGAACAGATAATTGTGACATATAAACCTTACTCTCCAGATTTGATTGTTTCTCCCTAAACATGCGAGAATAAATGCCTTGTGATTTTGTAGTGGTATTTATAATATCAGGCAACTTATTAAATTGCTGATCTAGCTCAGCGACAGTTGGTAAGTTATTATTGCATATAGAACATATTTGCTTTCTATTGTCAATATTAGATATTTGACAAACTAAGCATTTTTTTATATATCCTGTTTGACTTTGATGATGTGCTAATTCATCGATCACATTTGTTTCTTGATTTTTCTCAATACAAAGTTCTTCTAAAATAGTGGTAAGATAATTAATAAGCTCTTTGTGAATTTTATTTTTCATATCTGATGTTAAAAAAAATAACTCCTTATAATTCTGTTGAGAAAGTTCAGAGTATAATCAGGGATCCATATTCTGTATATTAGAATCTTGATCATAGTTAAAAGAAACAAAACTCGTAACAGTATGAAATATAACGATATTAAATCCATGATCTAAGTAATTCTTTTGACCTTTCTGTTCATTGTCAAAGGCTAAAAATAAGAAACCTTTGGGAAGTGGTGGTGGTTCTGTAGCTAAAGCTTCTAACCAATTAGTAAACTGAATAACCACCAGAACTCATTATATGATTATCAATGTCAATAACCATTTTTGATCTTACTAATGAATACTTAATAGCTGAAGTGGCCAAATTGACAGCAGATATGTATTTTAAGTGCTTTGCTCCATATATAGGGGGAGAATAAAACAGAGTCGATTGCATGTGACGCTGATCACTGATGTTACAGAGGGGTGTATTTTTATAAGTCACGTGCCTTATATTTGGCACATAGCCATTGGTTCAATTTTTTTTTGTGGTTGAATATGTATTTTTGTTTGACAACAAGCTGTTACAGGATTTTGAGTGTTTTTTTTTAAGTTTTTTTTTGACGAGATTTTTTACAGGTTTTGAGTTCTTTGACAGGTGATTTTTTTGTGTTTTTTGAGCAATCCGGCAGTTTATAATGGACACCCCTAATCCTAACACCTCTAATAATCCTACTGCTCATATTTCTTCAGACCTCACTCCTGACGAAAAGCAGAGCCCTTCAACTACCCTCTAACAAACACTGCTATCACATTTGCTATTCCCCCCTTAACAAGTGTTACTGTACCTCCCTTAAAACTCACTCCTGATGAAAAATGGTGTCTACTTTTTAATGTTGATAGTCTGTTCGAGGTTCCGGAGGAGGAATTTGACAAAAATTGGTGGCCCTTGGTCTCCAACATATGGACACAGTATAATTTCCACAAACATATTAATGGTAATACTTGTAAGGTTTTTACTTGTCATTTCACGAAACATCGTGACTTGAGTGAATGAAAAGATAAAGAAATTCTGACCAAGAAACATAGAACAATGATGATTCAGCCGCCTGGCCTTTGTTACGCGAAAATAAAAGTATTATGCCTAATTTCAACAAAGATGGTCCGAATTGAAAGTATCAAAGATTCTCCATATCATTCACATCCTCTCAAGAAAAGCGATAGGCTGAAACACTTGGATGTGATTCGAACTTTGATCGAGAAAGAAGCTGTCAAAAGTTATCCGCCGGTAGTGATCATTAATGCTGTTAAAGAATATGCCAATACATTAAATCTTGGCAGCAGTGCTTAAGATTTAAGGTGAAAAGAGGTTGTGAATATAAAATATAAAGTTCATGGACCCATGGAGACTCCCCTTATTGGTGCTACCAAGATAAAACAAGATATTTTGGATGCCATGTCATATTTGAATGATCAACAATACCATGCCGAACGATATTGTGTTTCTATTTCTCAGAAATCTACTAAAGGTGTTTCCTAGCGGTCCACCCAAGGCATTGCTTTTGTGCATCCTGGACAACTCGAAAAACTTCGGCATCATGGGTGGCTAACTCTGATGGACTTTATCCATCAAACCAACAAACATGATTGGGTCCTTTTCACCTTGTATATTCACGATAGGTATGGATGTTGGGATGTCGGCATATATTTTTTCATGAGTAATGAGGATAATGAAACTATTGCCAAAGGATTATGACTTATCTGAAACAAATGCCCCAATGGTTTCCTCAATATTTTCTCCTGGACCAGAGCAGTGCCGAGGCCAATGCTATCAAGCAAGCCTTTCCTGGTCTTCATGGTGGTAAGCAAGAGTGCAAAGTAATCTTTTGCATTGTCCATGTTATGTGAACATGGATATCGAAAATTTATGAGAAAAAAACCTGAGAAACCATGGTGTTGGCAATGCACAAAATAACAAAATTGGATGCGATCAGCTTCTTCAAGAAGCTATTAATACTTGTCCGGTTCCTATAATCAAAAATTATATCAAAAG